GTACAGCTAAGGATCAGCTACAGAAGCAGCAATGGTTCAGTTAAAAAAAAAAAAAAAAAAAAAACTGGACTGAATGAAATACGGCCAGTTTTTCATATGTTGAACAGTATTTTTCCAGTGCTTGGTTTGATCCACTGAAATGCCTTGCTGGTTCACATCCAGGCTGCAGTCTGCAATTATGCATGCTCTCCTAGGCCAATGTGCAATGGAACGCCATTTGACATTCCAGCTTGGTTGGAAATCAATAATCCTGAGAGGCAGTAATATGATGGCATGTTAACATTAAACCTTTAAACAGCGGTACTAAAGACTCACATTTGTGTCAGATTACCTCCATGGTGTGATAATAAAACCTGCTATGCACATGTGTAACCACACAAACGACCACAAAACCTTTCCTTGTTTCTTTGTACATCACCTTTTTGAAATCTAGACTCTCTAACACTTTCTGGTGGAAATATTAGGTAGAAACTTCTCATATCAGATTTAGATTGGAACATAGCATCAGACATTTAGGCTCTAGATGAAGGCCAGGGTATGGAGCCACTTTTCCTCCTGCTAAATAGTTCCTCACTGCTTTTGGGCATTATAAAGCCATGTAGGTTTTTAAACCCATAAAAGCTCAGCTTTGCAAATGAACATCTCTTCCTGCAGATTTCAGCTCCCTGCTGCTCCCACTGCCCTGTGGAGGAGGTTATGAGATTTTGTCTTTGCACAAACATACAGGCCGTACAGTGCACCCGGGCTGTAATTGGGGGTGAGGGGGGTAGAGTTTGTAGAAGCTGCATGTGGGGTCCTGTGAGGGAGGGCAGTGTACACACAGCTCAGAAGCGTGTGTGTTTCTTCAGATGCAATCCCTCATGAGTGACATTTGGTGCAGGCAGCTGGTCGATTGTTGCACAATGCATGATATCTGCACTAGATTTATAAAGAGAATATCACTCACAAACAAACATACCAGCGATTGTATGTCACCAACTCCATATTTGCACAATATGTGCTGCTCTGTGTTACTTGTGATGCACGTCGGGGGGATTTATTCATTGGGAAGACATCCAAAGTGACTCATGTGAGCCAGAATCTAATCAAAGCAGAGTGCTGAACAGTTGAGAGTTAATGGTCTTGCTCAGGAACCAAGTAGGTTCAAATCAGGATAATTTAGTGTAGTCAATCTACATACTAGTATGCTTTGGGGAGGTTGGAGGAAACTGGAGAATCCAGAGGAAACCCACACAGACACGGTAAGAACATGCAGAACTCCAGACAGACAGTATCCCAAGCTCAGAATCGAACCATGGAGCTGTGAGGTGGCAACACTACCCACTGCACCTGCTAGGAAGTTTAAAATATTTAATTGCTGTTTTATACCATTAAATATTCAGTATAATATCAAATGATAAAGACCGGGCCCCTGGAGGAATAGCGTTTAGGCCTCAGCGCTCTCACCAGTGCGGCCCGAGTTTGCCACTGGGGTTGCACATGGCAGAGCACTCCCAGTGCCGATCCCAAGCCCGGATAAAACTGGGCAGGGTTGCATCAGGAAGGGCATAAAAACTGTGCCAAATCAAATATGCAGCCCAATGATTCGCTGTAGCAGCCCCTAACAGGAGTGATATAAAGCATAGTGATATAAAGCTGTACATGTTTGAGCCAGAAAAAGAAGAACTGTAACAACAAGAAGAGCAAGAGGGTTTGGCAGGGAATCCCAATGGTTATTTGATATATTTGCATAATGGTAAAGCATTGCAGTGCCAGGACACTGATAGATGAAATGAACACTACGAAATTGTGAATTCTGTTAGCATATTGAGATAAAATAAGAGATAAAATACTGTGCTACAAAATAATACAAAGACATATACCCTATACAAGTACTATGATAAGAAATCCCATAACCACACACCACAAGGTTATTTTAATCTGATGTGAGTTACAATGAGACAGAAATGTCCATATTCTAGGAATTAATTGTTACAGCCTTTTCAAAAGACAATTTTAGCCCAATTGCAATTTTGCAATCTAATGTACTGTATATGCTTATACTGGATGGAGATAAGCAGCTGGTACTGCCCCAGTAGTCTCAGAATGCTTCATAAACACAAAGCATTTACGTTTATTTATTTGGCAGACTGATTTAGCAATGCATAGCTAATTACTGAGGGTTATGAACTCTCATAGTCCTGGGATTTGAAATGACAACTTCCATTCACTAGTGCAGAAACCTTAACTACTGACCGCCCACTGAATCCTAATGGAAAATACAACATCAGTGTAGTGACCTTAACGACTCCTGACATTCCACACATTATATTTCCCTTCTGTGTCGTAACTCATGTTCTGCAACTACTGGCGGTCAACTACATAAACCAGGGGTAAGTCGGGACACTTTAGCATGCTCCCTGCCTCCAATAAGTGCCAAACGCCTTTGTGAGTTTAGCCAGGTGTGTTAGAGCAGAGATGCTGATAAATGTTTAACCAACATGTTCTCTTTTCGGGGACTTCACATTTATCCAGGTCACGTAGTTGGAGTTTACTATGTATAAAATGTGGTAAATTTGTATGTAGTAAATTTATATTGTTTAGAATATCCAGTATATCCAATATCTTTCTCTGCTTCGAAGATCCTCCTAATTCTAGATGTGTGTAGGTGAAATGTAGTTAAGTGATGGTGAAAATGGGATGCCACTATCATCCCAAAACATGTTATTTTGCATGTTCTACTGGATTGGCTACTGTTGATTGTCCTTATGTGTGAATGAGTGTGTGTATGCATGGTGCCCTGCAGTGGACTGGCATACCACTCATGGTTTGTTCTTGCCGTGTACCCAGTGTTCCAGGGATTGGTTCTGGATCCACCGCAACCCTGACCAGGATATAGCACTTATAGAAGATGAATGAATGATAGGTCATTTTTCAGACCAAGTTGCTTGTTTATTATTAACTGAATATGATTTTTTAGACTTATTAGAGAAATTTCCCTAAATATAAATAGTTTCCTCTTGGAAAAATAATTTGTAATATGGTCCTACTTTTAGTGAAAACTTTAAAGGGTTCATTATGACCTAAAAAGAGCATAAGACTTAAAAGGAATACCACAGTGTTTGTTTGAAACCGTTGAAAAAATAAAAAGCTCCAGTGCTGATTCATAGTTTTAAAACAGTCCCATCCCTCTGAACATCCCTTTTCTATCATAACATCCCGAACATGGTTGTCTCCCTCTGGCCCTGACCCGAAGGTCACGGTTTTTCCTGCAGATCCAGTCCAAACAGTGTTAGTGTAGCATCCCCCGCTAACTCTCCCTTGACAGAGCTCTGTTTGGCTTTCCTTTCTGACACCTGTCTTTCATTATTTAATGGGTTATTAGTGGATTAAGAATTACCTCAGATCTGCTGAAGATCAGAGTGTGGTGTGGTTAGAAAGTTGCAAGGGATTTTTTTAACTATATTTCTTAATCTTTTTAGAAAAGTTGTTTCAAACATATATACCAAAGCTAGCTTATTAAAAAGGAAGTGAACGAGTGTGTCTAGGGAACATCTATAGACAGAGAGTTCAGAACAGTCACAAATATGTTTTCACATGGTGCATGCTATAAATGTCCAACACCCACATACACATCCTTTTCCCTGAGCCAAACATACACATACTTGGTTTTGTTTTAATAAAAGCTAGAATTTTTTAAGATTAAGATGTGTTAGTAAGGACAGAAAAATTGTGTCAAATTGCATCGAACATGAAAGCATTGACTTAAAACTATGCATCTGTGGGTTAATAAGGTAATCCTATCAATACCAGGAGAAAACCATGTATACCTACATGTGGAGTATACAAGCATTACTGACTATCTATCCCCATCTGCCACACACATGCACTCACCCACCCACTCCTCTTAACTCAGCTGCCTGAATAACCCCTCCATTACAGAGGTCCAAATTAGAGAGTGCACGAAAGCATCTTTCAAAGATTAGGGGCGTGTTGATGTTGCTTCCCAGCTGGATGTGTTCCCACCCGGTTCCCCAGCAAAATCCCCCATCTCAAAAACATAACTCTTGGATATGTGTATTACTGAAAGTAAAACCTGCCCTATTTTGGTACAACGGAGTGGAGTGCTTGTTTCAAGTAGCCCATATTAGTCTGGAAAGAACGTAGAGGCCATCCGCACTGTTTAGGCTTTTGTGAGACATGTGTACGAACAGCAGCAGGGCCATGATTTATAATGAAACCTGTAATTACTGTGTTTGCTTTACTTTAGAAGGCCAACCTCACACAGGACTGGCCATAAAAAAAGGCCCCAACACGGAGTTGTAAACCAAGCAGGTTTACTCCATCATGAAGAGAAATACGATTTTGTAGTGTCTGTTGTTCAGCTGAGATCTTGCTGGAGCATCGGTAGGAAAGATCTGGAGGTTCAAGGGAGATCCATGGGGGAAGGTTGGTGAGGTTTCGGGCATGTTCAAGAGGTTTACGGAGTGGAGTACTATGCTGCATGGAATGGGTGCAAGTAATGTAAAGTATTTTTATGAAGTGTACAACTGAATGTTGGGTGTTTAGTGGAAATCTTGGCAGTGGATCATTTTAAGATGATTTCTGGCATTTAAAGGAAGTTATGCAAGTCTTTATTGGCATTTGGGCTGTGAAGAAAAGATTGGGTCAGGTCAGGAGCATGGGGCAAGTTTGGGAACTGTTTGTGACGGGTGAAGCATGAAGAGCTCTGGCGACTGTTTGGTAAGGTGTGGTCTATTTAGTGGAAGCTTGAGGTATTGCTGTGATTTGGAAGTGTTTGTGGTACTTAGGGGTATGTGGAAGATTGGAGGCTGAGAAGAAACTGAGAAGATTGTGGTGTTCAAAGGAGTTGCGGTATTTAGATGAGGTTTTGAAAACTTTTTTTTTTGTTTTTGGGTCATGTAGAGTAAGTTTGGGTATGCTTAGGGGAATGTAGAGGGAGTTTGGCTAGTGTCTGTTGGCCACTCTTGTGTGAGAAGAGGCCTGAGGTTTGTTTGGGGAGTGCTGGTTCAGTGGTTCAAGTTTTGGGCTACTGATCAGAAGGTTGCGGGTTCAAATCCCAGCACCACTAAGCTGCCACTGTTTGGTCCTTGTATCCGGCCTCAATTGTAAGTCACTTTGGACAAAGCTTTCAGCCAAATGAACAAATGTGAAGGTAAATATAAATGTTTGTAGAGATGTAGACTAAGCAGTCAGGGTTTTGGATATTTTGGGGCATGTGATGCAGACTATTTAAAGCGTATGATGATTGTGCAACATTTAGAGGAGATTTTGGGGTTGTCCATGGTGTTTGGAGCATGTACAGGAGATTTAAGAGTGTAAGGGACATGATAAGGAGGATTGGGTGGTGTTTCAGGCAGGAAATGAAGTTTTGCAATATAGAGGAGATATAGGATTGTTCACAGTGGAGAATCTAGAGGAGGACTGAGGAAGGTATAGTGACATGTGGACAGTGTTTCTGGGGTTTTGTGGGATGTAGTGGAGGATTATGGCATTTAAAGGTTTTGTGGGTGTTTGTTGAGGTGAGGTTAGTAGGGGCATGTAGAGAACACATGGGTGAGGGACCAGCAAGTGGGGGTTGTGTATTGTTTAGGAAGATGTGGCAGAGGAGGTTTGAGTTATTATAGGGTGTGTAGTTGAGATTTGAGACTGTTAAGAAAGTTTGGCAAACATTTTGAGGATGATTTGTTTGGCAGTGGGACATTGTGGAAGATTGTGGACTGTTCTTGGTGATTGATGCATATAGTGAAGGTTTGGGCAGCATTTAGTGTAAGTTGGAGTGTAAGATTCTGGAATTTAGTGGAGGTTTTTGGAGAGTTTGTTGCCCTGTGGGTCATGCATATTACATTTTGGTTAGTTTAGAGGAATACAGAGATGTTTTGATGGTGGCTGGGATTTGATGGAAGATCACTGGGAACTGTTTGGTGTGTGGCCTATGCTGTGGAGATTTTGGGTATTTTAGGCCCTATGGTCCAGATTCAGAAGTGTTTGGGATGTTCACAGTATTCAGACTATGTAATTTAGGTTTGGGTGTTTCTGACAGATTTGTGGCATGTTTTGGATGGTTCTGGAGTTTAGAGGAGGTTTGGGAGTGTTTGTTGAATTTTGTATTATTTAGAGGGTGTTTGGATAAGTAGTGGAAATTTGGGAGTGTTGATTTTGGAATGTAGAGGACTTTTAAAAAGTGTACAGCAGGATGTGGGGTATATAGTGGATATTTGGGCAGTGTTTTAGAAAGATTTAATAAGGTCTCCATTTAGAAGAGGTTTTGTAAGTGTTTAGTGGCATTTGGGCAATGAAGAAAAAATTGGTTCAGGTTAGGGGCATGAACAGCTCTTGGGCCTGTTTGAGAAGGTGTGGTCTATAGTGGAGGTTTGTGGTATTGCCATGATTTGGGAGTGTTTGTGGTGTTTTGGGGGTCATGTAGATGAAGTTTGGGAAGTGTATGGTGATGTGTGGGGCAGAAAAGGAGCTATGTGGACTGTTTGGGAAGGTGTCTTTGTAGTGGAGGTTTGTGGTATTTTGGGAGATGTAGTGGTGATTTATGTGAGTGTCTGTGGTATTTTGAAGCATGTGGTATTTTAGATGTTTAATGTATTTGAGGTTTTGGGAGAGTTTGTGGTATTTACTTATATGTAGCAGAGGTGTCAGAACTGTATGTGGGTATTTATGTTGACTTATGTTGAGGTTTATTGGCTGTTAGGGGTATTTAGTGTTAGCTCCCAAATCACCTTGAGATATGTTTGATATTATATGGAGGACATTTGGGGAGAGTTTGGTGTATTTGAGGTTATCTAGAGAAGGTTGAGGGGCTGTTAGGGGTATTTAGGGTCATGTAGAAAAGATTTAGGGGCTGTTAGGAGCATGTGGGTGTATGTAAAGGAGGTTTAGAGACTGTTAGAATTTTTTTTCAGGTTATGTAGACAAAGTTTAGGGGCTGTTAGCTGTATGTAGAGGAGATCTGTGGATGTTTGAGGTATTTGGGGTCATGTAGAGTAGGTTTAGAGGCAGTTAGGGGTATTTGGGGTTATATAGAGAAGGCACTGTTAGGGGTATTTTGCATTATGTATAAGAGTATTACAGGGTATTAGGGATATTTGGGGTTATGGAGAGAAGGTTTAGGGCTGTTAGGGGTATTTTGCATTATGTAGAAGAGTATTAGGGGGTGTTAGGGGTATTTGGGGTTATGTTGAGGAGGTCTGGAGAGTGTTTGGTATATTGGGGGCTATGTACAGTAGAGGAGGTTTAAGGACTGTTAAGGGTATTTGGGAATATGTAGAGAAGGTCTAGGGCTGTTAGGGGTATTTTGTGTTATATAGAAGAGGATTAGGGGGCGTTAGAGGTATTTGGTGTTATGTAGAACAGGTCTGAAGAGAGTTTGCTGTATTGGAGTTTATATAGAGGAGGTTTGGGGGCTGTAAGAGATTTGAGGAATATCTGTTGATATTTTGGGCATGTAGTGGAGATTTAGGAGTCTCTGGGGGAGGTTTGGGGTAGTGCTCATGGGAGACTTGATGAGCAGCCACTGAACGACACCCTGGGTCATGAAGACTCCAGCTGTGTCCAAGGCAGACGTGTCCTGCAGAGAACCTAAGACCCTAAATCTCCTGCTATTCCTCTACTGAGGAGGGAGGGGGCTGAGAACACTGGGGTCATCTCATATCTGTCTCGGGTTTAGAAAAACAGCAGAAGCATTTACTTTCTATACATTACATGTTTACAGGGATGTTAGCTTAATACAAGTTTGCATGCTAGGCTGATGATGATGATGATCTCTTAGCTTGACTTTGACACCTTCAGTTAACTTTAGTTATCAGCTTCCAGCATAGCTGACTCTATTAACACTTCCAAACTCTGTTATGTAATCGTTTGGCTATCAAGCTGATGGAAAGGTTTTCCCTACTGTTTTCCCTACTGTTGGGATAAAAGCTTTGAATTTTCGTGTGTGTGTGTGTGTGTAGGAAAATGTTTGTAAGTCAATAAAGGGTAACAACATCAGTGCTTTGCATTCCACAAATAAATGGCCAGTAAAGCAAAGCATTCCAAATGAGCAAGGATGGTAAAAGCAGTTGAGCAAATGCCTGGCAGTGGGAGGCACATCAAGGTGCACACACCACACACACACCGTCCAAAGGTGCTGATGGTGTGGTGCTAATTGGATCCATAAGAATGTGAGCATTAGTGTATGTGTGTATGTAGAAAGTGTGTGTAGGAAATGACTATGCAAATCATCAGAGGTTTACAGACAGACAGGAAAATAAAGAGCTCTCACAGGGCTCCTATTCCCCTCAGCTACATACTCAGCTAAGTAGATTCTTTAATTAAAAAAAACACATTATTTTCTTCTTTCTTTAAATATGTTTTTATTTGTGGTAGCTATTCTTTCTTTCTTTCTTTCAAACCTTTTTTATTTGTGGTGACTATTCCTCATCCCTTCCTTCCTTTATTTCTTTCTTCCTTATGTCCCTTATTTCCTTCTTGCCTCCTTTCTTTCCCTTCCTCCCTTTTCCTTTTTCTTTCCTTCTTCCTATTTCTTTCCTTCCTTTGTACTTGATCTCCATCTCTTTCCCTCTTCTTTTTCCTCCTTGCTTCTACTTGTCCTGTCTCTTTCTTTGTTTCTTTCTTTCCATATTTAGTTTCTCTTTCCATGGGTTTTCTTTGATTTTTTTTGCTCTTTTTCTCATCCCTCTGTCTATCTCTACGTCTTTCTCTTCTTTCTATCTATGCACCCCTTTCTCGTTCTCTTCATTTTAATCCCAGCTCTACTGAATCCCTCTCACTGCAGCATGCCTGTCTCTTCCAGTCTTGCTCCCTTGTTCCTCTCTCTCTATCTCTTATCTTCCTCTTTCTGCCTCTCTCTCTGAGGCTCAGCTGTGTGTCCCGCATTACATTCATCAATCCTCTGCATCCTTTCTGCCCCCCGTCCCCCATCACTGTGGAGACACTTGGCACAAGCTTCATCCTCCTCTCCTTGACATCTTTATCGGGGGGCACGGGCACGCACACACACATGCACACGCGCACACACACACACACACACACACACACACACACACACACACGGGACACCACCACTGGGGTGGGAGTAGGGGACGTCGCCCTTTTAGGAAGGTTAGTCACCCTGGCAAGCCCTGCCTTTTGTGTGTGTGTGTGTGTGTGTGTGTGTGGGAGAGAGAGAGAGAGCTCAGCTGCAGCAGAGCATTGGCACCGACCTGCCTGCCGTGTACCTGCGCCATCCTGTGAATCTAATTGGCATTCAGTAGGTTGATAAATGGATTGGCATAATGGGACAATATACTTGACATATGCAGAGCTCTCCTGAGAGACGGGCTCTGTCTTATTGAGCCTCAGATACCGACACACACACACACACACACACACACACACACACACAATATCTCTCCAAGCGCACAGCTGTGGCCTCGAGCTCACACACACAACGCAGCCAATCAGAGCGCAGCCAGGTTCATGGCCCGGTGCCTTCCTCACCATGGCGGAGATTAGAAACACACTGAGCCAAGAGTCTAACACATACATTCATAATACACACTTAGGCACACTCACACTCAGCACAGATGCATATGGGTATACACCATCACATTTACACACATGCTTTCATGTATAGATATTCGCATACTCAGATACACACATTCTCAGACTTTGCTGTGCTTCTTGCACATCCATATTCCTTCTGTTACTCTCTTGTTATCTGGGTGTGGTGTTCTCCTCTATCTCAGTCTCCTATCAAGTTCCTTTCAGGTTCCTCACAATCATTTCAGATTCCTCTTAGACTTATCTAAGACTTTTCTCAAGCTCTTCTTAGTTTTAGTTTAGGGTCTTCTTAGCTCCTCTCAGTTTCCTCTCAAACTTCTCTCAGTTTCTTCTCAGACGTCTCTCAGTATTGTTCAGACTCCTCACTGTTTCTTCTGAAACTTCTCTTGGGTTCCTCTCAGACTCCTCTCGGTTTCATTTGGACTCTCTTTGGTTTCTCTCACGCTCCTCATGGTTTCTTCTCAGACTGCTCTCAGTTTCTTTCAGACTCCTCTCTGTTTCTTCTCAGACTCATCTGAG